CTGTGCACGAGGGTTTCTTTTTCTCCGCATCCTCTCCAGCACTTGTCATTTGTGGATTTGTTGTTGATATCCATTCTGACAGGTGTGAGATGGTATGTCGTTGTTTTGATTTGCATCTCTCGGATGATTAGTGACTTTGAGCATGTTTTCGTATGTCTCTTGGCCTTCCTTATGTCCTCTTTTGAAAAGTGTCTATTTAGGTTCATTGCTCAATTTTTGATTGGGTTGTTTATCTTCCTTTTGTTAAGTTGTATGAGGTCCCTGTAAATGTTGGAGATTAAACGCTTATTGGATATATCATTGGCAAATATGTTCTCCCATGCAGTGGGCTTTTTTGTTGTTTTGTTGATGGTTTCTTTTGCTGTGCAGAAGCTTTTTATTTTGATGTAGTCCCATTTGTTTACTTTATCCTTAGTCTCCATTGCCCTAGGAGCTGTGTCAGTAAAGATAAGGGGACAATTCTTGAACTTCATCTGAACTTCCGATTCATTGATCCTTCCACTTTCTGCCTATCTGTATCCCCTGACCCAATTAGGAATGCATGTCATAGTTTATCATTATGATCTTGTCCTTGAAAGTACATTACCTCTTGTCTCTCCCTGCCTTTTATTTTTTTGGCAAAACCCACACTCTGGATGAATCCAATCTTTTTGCCCTTTTTGCACCTGCACCTATCTGGATTAACTTTGCTGGGAAAAGTCCTGGATAAATGGATGACACTGTAAAATGAAAATGGTCAACCACTTGAAGATTCACTCAGTATGGGCATGAGATCCTTCTTATCCTTCTTATCCTCTGTTTCTGTGGTAAGCCTACTTTCTTTTTCCAATTACAATTCCCTAGACTTTGTGTATACTCTCTTCATCTCTTTCTCATTTTCAGCTGATGACTTCTTTGTAAGTCAGGTCCATTCTGCATCTAGTCTGTCAACTTTTTCCTCCTTCACTATCAGATCCTTGTCCAGATCATCCACATTTCTCAACTAAACCTCTTCAGGCCTTGTACCCCTCCAATCACTTCTCTATTCAGCAGCAAAAGGTGACACTTCCTTACTTAAAATTCTTCAATGAATTCCATTGCACTTAGAACTTAGAATAAAATCCAAATTCCTAACCACGGCCTACAAAAATTCTTGGTTTGGGTTGTATTCTTAAGGACATCTGCCACTCACCCCCTTCCTTTACCTGCTTTTCACATAGCTGGTTCCTCAATCATCAGGTTTCAGAGTATGTCACCACCTGAGACCTTACTAGAACAAACCTATTTGAAACATTCTTTGTAGTTTTCCACGACCTCTAACCCTAAATCTTCTATAACACAGCATGCTTCTTCCTTTGTTTCTCTTACCACAATCTGCAATTACTTGTTTATTTTTATTTCTTCCATTAGACCTTAAGTACCTTGAGGGCAGGACCTATGTCTGTTTTGTTCACCACAGGCAGCAAGTACAATGCCAGACATAGTGAGCACTTGTTACATATTTGTTGAGGGAATTATTAAGGGAACTGTGTGCCAAGTCCAGAGCAAGAGGGAAAAGAGCTTGGCCTGATCCAGGAACTGAAAGGAGTTGGTATGAGGAGTGGTGAGAAAAGAAGAAGGATCATAAAGGGCACCTTATACCAAGTTAAAGAGTCTGGACTTTCTATGGCAGTGGGAACCCTTTGAAGAGCTTATCTGGGAGAGTGACATGATCAGATTTAGTTTTAGGGAACATCACTCTGGCTGAAGGATGGGACATAGATTCAAGGGAGAAAGACTGAAGGACAAAGTTCTTAATCCCCATTAATTTTAGTTACCTCTGTAAAATGCATAATTATTGTGAAAGTTAAAGCCACTTATAGATCATCCAGCACAGTATCTGGCAGGAATTATGTATTTAATAAAGGTAACCATTTGTATTATTAATAGAAAGTACTGGCATTGCTGACTGATGTTGAAACTGAGAGAAAATAAATTAGAGATACCTGAAAATTCCCAGTCTGAGAAATGACATATAAATTAGGAACCTGAAGAAAAAAAGAGGTGGTTGGGAGAGCACCGTTGAGTTTTCATGTGACTGCACATAGTTTACATTTGGAGGGATACTGCCAAAGAAGATGTCAAGCAAGCAGAAGGGGAAAATGAGCTTTTTATTTTTTATGGTATTCACACACCATAAATTATTCCTTTCAAAGTGTACAGTTCACTGATTTTTACTATTTTCACAAAGTTGTGCAGCCATCACTACTATAATTTCAGAACATTTTCATCACACCCAAAAGAAACCTGGTACCCATTAGCAGTTACACCCCATCCACCCTTTTTCCAACTCCTGGCAATCACTAATCTACTCTCTGTCTCTACAAATTTGCCTATTCTGGACATCCTATATAATAAAAGGGTAATGTGCAAATTGTCCCTTCCAACTGAGTTTTGACTAGGGGGCGGGGCTGGCCTGCCAAACGCCCAGGGCCCCTCTCTCCAGCCAACCCCGCCCCCGATTGGACCCCCACCCCAATTGGGGTCGGGGCTGGCCAGAGCCCACTCGTGCATGAATTCGTGCACCGAGTCTCTCGTTTCATATAAATGGAATCATAATATGAGGCCTTTTGTGTATGTTTGTTTTAGCGTAGCATAATGTTTTTAAGGTTCCTCCACATTGTAGCATGTGTCAGTACTTCATTCCTTTTTATGGTTGAATAATATTCCACACATATTTTATTATATTCCACCATATTTTATTTATCCATTCATCAGTTAATGGGCATTTGGGTTTTCACTTTTGGGCTATTATGACTAATGCTGCTATGAACATTCATATGCAAGTTTTTGTATGAGCATATGTTTTCAGTTCTCTTGGTCATAATATCTAAGAGGAATTTCTGGGTCATATGATAATTCCATATTTAGCTTTTTGAGGAAACTGGTGATTCTTCATCTGAAGTCCTAAGGAGTGGGTGAAATGTGATCAATTTAGGTTCATTCCTGGTAAAAATGTACCATCCTGATGAGTGATGTTGATAATGGGGGGTGGAGTATGCATGTGTGAGTGGAGGGGTATGTGTGAAATTTCTATGCCTTCCTCTGAATTTTGTTGTAAGCCTAAAACTAATCTAATAGTCCTAAACAAACTAATATGAAACTACTTTGTTAAGAATCAACTTAAAATTTGAGTGTGAGATGTTACTTCCAGGATCACACATTGGTTAAAGCATTTAATGAAATTAAAAATTATAACTCTTTGAATCTGATTTTGTCTTTCAAACTGAGGTTATTATGTTTATTTCTATTAGGCTCTCATAGTTTTAGTTATAGCTAGGTTTATACCTTTATGAAAAGAAGGATGTATTCTATTGTTCTTTCAGTCTTGCCCAAGGAAATATCTCATTTTAGCATTGTATGGATTTGAGTTTCATATATAGCTGACTCTTCTATACTAGATTTACTTTTTAGTTAGAGATACTATACTCTCTGTGTCATTCTTATTCTCACTTTTAAAAATAAGGTCAGGGGGAGGCACAAGAGTTCAAAGAAAAACACCTGTATGATAAAGAGTAAAAAATTCATATGTAGGTAAAATACTTCATGCTTGATAATAATGAATATTGG